AAATATATATATGTTTTTCTTTTTTTAATGCTATAAATGCTGGCATCATAGTGTGGTGCTGTTGCATAAGCACTAGACTGCTAACCAGAAGGCTGGTGGTTCAAATCCACCAGCTGCCTAAGATACAGGGTCACTACAAGTTAGAACCTGGGCACTTAATAACAACTGTTGTTTAAGAACACAATAGGAACCTTTCCAAAGTCATCTTACTAGTTATGTTGTTGTTGTTAAGTGCCATCAAGTCAATTCCGATTCATAGCGACCCTATATAGGTTTTCCATGGAGCAGCTGGTGACCTTGAACCACCGACCTTGCAGTTCAAACGACTTTGCAGTCTGAAGAATTAGCCCACAGCGCCCCACCAGGACCCCTCTTAATAGTTATAGCAGACATTACATACAAAGTGGAGTGGAATTACCTTTGGGCTTTTCTATAAGTCTCTGACATGTTTCTTTGACTTTGGTGAAAAGTTCAGAACCTGCTAACTTTTTAGAAATGCCAACTCTCAGCATAACAGCTCCAGGTGTGAATTTTAACAGTGCAGCCCCAGGCTCTCGCGGCTCTTTTGGATGCTTTGGCATAAGGCCAGACCAATCCACATCTATCACGTCTAATGGATCTGCAAATAGTTAAACAAAAGACAGAATGTTTGTACCATGAAATAGCATTTTTGTTACTTATGTTTTTTTAAAAAAATCAAAACAAAATATAGAAAGCATTAAATAACAAGCAGCATAATCCAACACGTCATAGTTTTAAATTAAAAGCTTCTCCATAAATACTAGTATTTATAATTTTATTATATGTATTTTATTAAGGGTGTTTACAAATAAAACCAAGCCCCTACACTGCCACCAAAGGAAGACAAACAGCAAGTCCATCCTAAAAATAATTTATTCAAATTTCAGGAGAGATCTCATAAGGAATCACATTATTTAATTTACATTTGGTATGACGTTCTGAAACCTGGCCCCACAATTCTTTGAAGGGTCAAATCTAGGAGTGTATTTAGTTTGGATGTGTGTGCACTTGTACACACACATTTTATTGTTGTAAATACAAACAATTCATTATCAAAGTCCTTTAATAATTAGACAGCTTTTATTAACACCAATAGCAAATAATCCATTAATTGAGAGAAGGAGCAAATTAAGAAAATTAACAATCAGACATATTCTATCTAAGCAGAAGAAATCATGAAATAGGAGTGGCAATTTAATAAAAATTAAAAGTTAATATAGCAAGCAAAGACCCTCACTAATAAGAAATATAAACACTGTTAGTTACAATCAGACTAACAGGAATGATTCCACAAGACCCGCAAGGAGTGCTGCTTCATGGTGTAGTCACTAGAATAAGTTATCTAGCAACAAATAAAGTACTCTAACTCAGGTAGTTTAACCACATCTAGGATTACCTGGCATCTTCTCATCTTCCTGCTGATCCTCCCTCTTTTCAGCATCACCTGCCAGAATTTCATCGAGTTCGTCATCACTGATTGGCTCGTATCCTTCTCCAGCACCAGAGCCTAAAGAATGTGCATCATCTAACTTGGACTCGTCATCTCCTGCTAAGTAGAGAAATTAATTTCATGTCAAAGAATCTCCAAATGAAGAGATGTTTAAGTCAAACCAAAAATGTTGAGGCTGTGCACCGAAAATGCCCTGAAAAGCACTGCTCATTAGAAAAAGATTTTTATTATTGAAATATTTAATATTTACCAAAAGAAAACCAGAAATATGAATTTTCTTAATGCAAAAATATAACATGGAAAGCAATCGGAGAATAGGTTACAAGATCATAATTAGAATATGAGTAATAAAAGTTATTACTAACATATTGTTATGTGTGTTGTATTAATGTGTACTAGTAAAATTTTTTATAAAATCCAAAGAATCTAATTTAAAAAGATTACAGTAATTTCTTAGCCTACATAAGCTAGTTAATTAAAAATACAAACTTACTAATAAAATACATTCAAAACTTAGCTTATAATATTTAGCTCATGCCATGAAGAACAGTGAAATACAAAATGCAAAGGTGTCATTCATTTGGCCTCTTTCCCAATTTCTCTTCCCTAGCCCTATATTTTTCTTTAAATAGCAAACATAATATTCAAAAGAATATTGTAATTCAGTTCAAAATACCTTTGTTAGTTCCTCTAGTGGATGCTCTATCTTTTTACTTTCCTAACTTTCCTCAATCTTCTACGCTAAGCTTTGTCTCCTGGGGAGCTAGTTGTGAATTTAAATACTCTAAAAGTTACAAAATATGCCTATTATTCCTAGTCATCAGTTATCCATACATTTTAATGATTCTATAAAACTAGTTTTCAAAATGTAAAGTATGCTTTCAGGGTATAAATGTGGTGGTGTTGTGAGACAGTGCTGAGTCGGTTCCCTGTGCACCAGAACAAAGCCCAGCCCGGTCCTGCGGTATCGTCACAATCATTTCTGTGTTTAGTCACTGTGTCCATCCACCTCACTGACAGGCTTCTGGTTCTCACTGACCCTCTACCATGAGGAGGACGGGGTCCTTTCTAAGGACTGTTTTTTTTGTTCACACATTGAAAGTACGTGAGACAAAGTGTTGTCATCTGGCTTTTAAGAAGCATGCTAGCTGTACTTCTTCCAAGACGGATGTGTTCTTCCTTCAGTTTGTTATGTGTTGGTGGTGGTGGTGAGCTGTGGAGTCAGTTCCGACTCATAGTGACCCTGCATAGGCTTTCCAAGGCTATAAATTTTTATGGGAGCAAAAAGCCTCATCGTTCTCCTGTGGGACCACTGATAGTTTCAAACTGCTGACCTTGTGGTTAGCAGCCCACCACAGCTCCTTAGTTTATTTTATAGTAGTGTCTTATGTGTTGCTGTGAGACTGGAAGCTCTGCCACTGATATGTCAATTACCAACACAGTCACCCAAGATAGACAGGTTTCAGCAGAGCCTCCAGATTAAGACAGACTAGGAAAAAGGAGAGGTGATCTCCTTCTGCAAAGCACTGACCAGTGAAATAGCAGTAGGTATAAATTTACACTGTAACACAATAAAATATAAGAAACTGAGAGATAATTTTAGTCACTAGTAATTTTTCATACTACTAAATGTATTTGGGTTTTTAATAGCATGTTCACTGAGTGCCTGCCCACACCATCTGGATGGTGCAAATGGTTAAGTGCCTGAGTGTTAGCTGCGAGGCTGGCTACCTGAACTCATATACAAGGGGTTCGGCAGACAGGCCTGAAGAGGTGCTTCTGAAAAGTCAGAGCCTTGGAAACCCTGGGGAGCACTTCTGTTTGGCCCATGTGGGGTGGCTATAAGTCAGTATCGCTTTGACATCAACTAGCAACAATATACCATCACCAATACCCTCCAAGGTAACCAATTTTAATACAATATAGACATATAAATATATACATCAATGTATGTTTATATATACACATATTAGGATTTTTTGTTTTTCAAGTTCAACCAACATATTTAATACCTTAAGTGGATAAAATCATTCCATCACATTCATTTGGGTTCTATATTATCTGTGTTCACAACTAGCAAGTGATTTACTTTAGGGATGAGGGACACAAGTTGTTGTTGTTAAGTGCTATGGAATCAGTTCTGGCTCATGCAACCCTGTATAAAGCTTCTAAGGCTGTACATCTTTAGAGGAGAAGAAAGCTCTTCTTTCTTCTGCAGAACAGCTGGTAGGCTCAAACTGTCGACCTATGATTTGCAGTCCAGCACTTATCCTACAGAACCACTATACTCCCCATAATCGTAAGAGTTATTAAAATAGTGCAATTATACTCAATTACATCCCAAAGTTGTAACTCCATTATTAACATGACTCATGATCTGATGGTATTTACACTCAAATCACTCGTGTGTCAGTCTGGCATACTGTGGTGGCTTGCATGTTGCTGTGATGCTGGAAGCTATGCTATCGGTATTTTAAATACCAGCAGGGTACAGCCACAGTGGACAGGTTTCAGCTGAGATTCCAGCCTAAGAAAGACTATCAAGGAGGAGAGCTGACATACTCCCAAATGTTTAGTCACTGAAAACCTTATGAATAGAAGTGAAACACTCAGACAGCACATTAAATATTGAAATATTACGATTAGCACCCAAACAGAGTCAGATACAGTGACAGAAGATGATCCCCTCAGATTGCAAGGCACTTAAAATACAGCTGGAAAAGAGCTGCCTCCTCAAAGTAGAGATGGCCATGACAACACGAATGCAGTAAATCTTTCTGTACCTTCATTTACTGCTGGGCACAACTCAATGTGAAGAGAAACAGTGATAAACATCCATTAATAATCAGAACATGAAATGAAGTATGAATCCAGGAAAACTGGAAGTTGTAAAAAATGAAAATGAACACTTTAGAAGATAGATATTCTAGGCATTAGTGAGCTGAAATGGACAAGTACTGCCTCTTTTGAATCTGACAATCACATGGTTTACTATGACAAAAATGACAAAAAAAAAAGGGGGGGGGAATGGCATCGCATTCATCATCAAAAACAACTTATCAAGATCTGTCTTGAAGAACAATGCTCTCTGTGATAGGATAATAACCATACGCCTACAAGGAAGACTTGCTAATACCACTATTATTAAAATTTATGCACCAACCACTAAAGCCAGCGATGAGGAAATTAAAAAATTCTACCAACTTTTTCAGTCTGAAATTGATCAAATATGCAATCAAGATGCATTTATAATTACTGGTGATTGGAATGCAAAGGCTGGTAACAGAGAGGAAGAAGGATCAGTAGTTGGAAAACACGCGTTGGTGATAGAAAGGATGCTGGAGATCGCATGACAGAATGTTTCAAGACCAATGTCATCATCATTTCAAACACCTTGTTTAAACAATATAAAAGATGACTATACACATGGGCCTCACCACACACCATACACAGAAATCAAATTGATTACATCTGTGGGAAGAGATGGTGGGAAAACTCTGTAATCATCAGCCAAAATGGTGATGACATGTGGAACAACGGTGGAACAGACTATCAATTGCTCATATGCAAGTTCAAGTTGAAGCTGGAGAAAATTAAAACAAGTCCATGAGAGGCAAAACATTCCACCTCAATTTAGAGATCATCTCAACAACAGATTTGATGCAGTAGACCCTAATGAAAAGAATTGTGGGATGATATCAAGAACATCATACAGGAAGAAAGCAAAAGGCAATTACTTAATAAGAGAGAAGGAAAAGAATAAAATGGGTGTCAGAGAGACTCTGAAATTTGCTCTCCAGCATAGTGATGCTAAAAAAAAGAAAAGAAAAAAAAAGGAAGAAATGAAGAGATAAAAGAGATGAGCAGAAAATTTTAAAGGGCACCTCAAGAGGACAAAGTCAAGTACAATAATTAAATGAGCAAACACCTGGAATAAGAAAACTGAGAGGGAAGAACACACTCAGCATTTTTCAAGCTGAAAGAACTGAAGAAAAAAATTCAAGCCTGGACTTACAATATTGAAGGATTCAATGAGGAAAACATTGAATGATGCAGAAAGACTTGAAAGAAGATGGAAGGAATACACAGAGTCACTGTACCATAAAGAACTGGTCAATGTTCAGCCATTTCAAGAGATACCATATGATTAGGAGCACTGAAGGAAGAAGTCCAAGGTGCACTGAAGGCATTGACAAACAACAAGGCTCCAGGAATTGAAGGAATACATAATGATATCTTTCAACACACTGATGTAGCACTGGAGGCACTCACTCATCTATGTCAGCTAACTCATTCACAAGGAAGGCAGCTGCCTGGTCAACTAACTGGAAGAGACCCATATATGTGCCATTCCAAAGAGAGGTGACCCAATGCAATGCAGAAATCATTAGACCCTACCATTAATAGCCCATGCAAGTAAAAGTTTGCTAAAGGTAACTCAAGAACAGCTGCAACAGTACATTGACAGGGAACTGCCAGATGTTCAAGCCAGATTCACATGATGACGTGGAACAAAGATTACCATTGCTGACATCAGATAGATCTTGGGTGACAGCAGAGAATACCAGAAAGATGTTTACCTGTGCTTTATTGGCTATATACAGGCTTTTGACTGTGTGGATCATGACAAGCTATGGACATTGCAGAAAATGAGTATTCTAGAACACTTAATTGTACTCATGAGGAACCTGTACATAGAACAAGAGGCAGTCGTTCAAATAGAAAGGAACACTGAATGATTTAAAATTAGGATAGGTGTGTGCCAGGGGTATATTCTTTCACTACACTTATTCAATCGGTATGCTGAGCATACAATCAGAGAAACTGGATTATATAAAGAAAAACGTGGCATCAGGATTGGAGGAAGACTCATTAACAACCTGCAATATGCAGATGATACAACCCTGTTTGTTGAAAGCGATGAGGACTTAATACTTACTTTTGAAGATCAATGACCACAGCTTTCAGTATGGGTTGCACCTCAATGTAAAGAAAACAAAAATCCTCACTAATGGACCAATAAATGACATCTTGATAAATGGAGAAAAGACAGAAGTTGTCAGACTTCATTTTACTCGGATCAACCATTAACATTCATGGAAGCAGCAGTCAAGAAATCAAACACTATATTGCATTGGGCAAATCTGCTGCATAAGACCTCTTTAAAGTGCTTAAGAGCAAAGATGTCAGTTTAAGGACTAAGGTGCATCTGACCCAAGCCATGACACTTTTCATTAGCTTCATATGCATGTGAAAGTTTGACAGTGGATAAGAAAGACCACAGAAGAATTGATGCTTTTGAGTTATGGTGTTGGAAAAGAATATCGGAAATACCACAGACTGCTAGAAAAACAAACAAATCTGTGTTGGAAGAAGTACAGCCAGAACGCTCCTTGGAAGCCAGGATGGCCCGTATAAGATAATATGTCTCATACTCTGGACATATTATTAGGAGGAACCAGTCCCTGGAAAGGACATCATGCATGCTAAAATGGAGAATAGGTGAAAAAGAGGAAGACTCCCAACAAGATGGATTGGCACCATGGTAGCAGCAATAGCTCAAGCTTAACAAGGGCTGTAAGGATGGTGCAGGATCGGACACTGCTTTCTTCTGTTGTGTATATGGTTGCTATAAGTCAGAAGTGACTTGACAGCATTTAACAACAACAGCAACATACTTAAAAGTGAGATAAAACTATAGTGCTAGCAAAGCTGAAGTATAAATGTTTTCTCAAGTCAAGGAGACGCAATGTATACATCAGAGAGGCACGCTGGAATATCTAATTAGATGGAAGGATGTTCACAGTTTTAAAAGATCATGAATGTTCCTCTACAAAGGAATGGAACTGTGTAACAAAAGACAATTGACTCACCTTCCACACTCTCAGTTCTCTCAGCTTTATTTACATCTTCAAATCCTTGCACAGATGCCAGATCTTTATCAGTTCTTTCTTTATCAAAAGCTGTAGAGTCTCGGGACATGCCTTCTAGGTCTCTTTCATGGTCACTCTCCAGTTTTGTTTCACTGCGCTTTACAGATTCTATTTGGGAAGAATTCTCAAAAGTTCTGTCTCTGTCTCTTTCAACAGAATCTGGGATTAATCTCTCTCTTTCTCTGTCCACCTCTCTCCTTTTGTCACGCTCTCTCTCTCGTTCTCGCAATCTATCTCGGTCCCTATTCCGTGCCCAATCTTTATCAGTATCTCGGTCCCATTCTCTCTGCCTTGTATCTCTCCTCTCTCTCTCCCGGTCTCCTCTATCATGTTCATATCGATCACGTTCTTGAAGCCTATCTCTACTATCAAATGACCCAGATCTTGAATGAACCTGCCGATCGGACTCAGGAGAACTTCTCCGTGAACTATGGCTCCTTGAATCCTGGCGATCTGAAATAAATACACCAAACAGAAAGAGTTAATACAAGCAGAAAGAAAACATTTCAATTTAAGGTTCTTTAAATTTTACAGTTTCTCTTTGATCTGTATTTATAAATCTTTTCAAGAAAAATGTAACCTCTCTTAATTAAATGCTAATTAAAAAATGTCCAAAAACACATTTTTTGTTGTTAAGTGTTGTTGTTGTTAAGTGCCGTGGAGTTGGTTCCAACTCATAGCAACCCTGTACAGGGTTTCTGTGGAGCGGCTGGTAAATTTGAACTATGAACCTTGAGGTTCAAACTGACGTTGCGGTCCAATGCTTATCCCACAGCACCACACCAGGACTCCAGGAGACCTGCGAAAGTAGTAGTTATGAGTTGGGCTGCTAACTGCAAGGTCAGTAAGTCAAATCTACCAGTAGCTCTGCAGGAGAAAGATGTAAAGATTTACAGTCTCGGAAACTCTGTAAAGGGTCGCTATATGAGTTGGAACTGACTCAGAAGCACACAACACCAAATTTCCATATAGAACCACAACATAACTTTAAGAAAAAAAAAAGTACATAAAATGGGTAAGCACAGAATTGATGATCTTATTATTTGTATTCTCCCTATTCCCCTACCTGTATTCAAAAGAGACAGCATGAATTTAATGTAATTCTTATAAAAATTCCAATAGCCTTCTTTTCAGAAATTTTATGTAATGGGAGGGGCCCTGAATAGCCAAAACACCATGAAAAAGCACAAAGTCGAAATACTCACACTTCTTGATTTCAAAACATATTATTAAAAAAAACAAACAAACATTCCCATTCAGTTGCTTCTGCCTCATGGCGACCCCCCTGTGTTACAGAGTACAACTTCTCCATTGGGTTGCTTGGCTGCATTCATTATACAAATAGATTGATAGGCCTTTCTTCTATTGTACTGTTGGGTGGGTCAGAACTGTCAACCTTTAGGTTAGAAGCACAGTGAGCTCAGTGGCCTTAAATATACTGCGAAACAACAGTAATTCAAACAGTCTGGTATTGGTATAAAGAGACATATATATTGATGGAATATAACTGTGAGTTCAAAAATAAACCCATTCACCATGGTCAATTATTCCCAACAATGTTGTATTAAGTCAATTCAGTGAAGGAAAGGAAAGTCTCTTTAATAAATGGTGCTGGGAGAACTGGATTTCTATATGAAAAAGAATAAAGCAAGATCCATATCTCACATCATTTACAAAATCTAATTCAAAATGGAGCAAGGACTTAAAACCATAAAACTCTTAGAAGAAAAAAAAAAACAAGCCATGCTTTGGGACATTATTGTTGTTATTGCTTAGTGCCACCGAGTCAATTCTGACCCACAGCGACTCTGTATAGGGTTTTCCAAAGAGTCCATGGTAGGTTTGAACTGTCAACCTTGCAGCTAGCAGTCCAGTGCTTATCCATAGCACAACACCAGGACTCGTTGAGAATCTATTATTAACAACTACACTTGGGGCATTGGTGGTGGTGGTTATGTGCTGTGGAGTCGGTTCTAACTCATAGTGATGCTACAAGGCTGTAAATCTTTAGGGGAGCAGAAAGCCTCATCTTTCTCCCATGGAGCAGCTGGTAGATTTGGTTAACAGCTCAGCTCATAATCCACTATGCTAGCAGAGCTCCTTTAGTAGTAGTTTCTAATAATGGAGTCTTAACTATAACATCAAAAGCATAAACAGAAAAAGCCAGAACAGAATTTTGTTCTCTTTTGAAGACCCTTATAAAAATTTAAAACGCTTTATCAGTACAGAGAAGAGAGAGCATTAAATTGGAGAAATTTTAGGGAAACTCCCGGTGTGACGCTGTGGGTTAATGCGCCAGACTGCAAAGCCGTTTGAACTGCAAGGTTCACGGTTCAAGCTCGCCAGCTGCTCCTCGGAAACCCTATCCAGGGTCACTATGGGTCGGAACCAACTCGATGGCATTTAACAACAACAACAACAACAATATATATCCATCCAGTTAAGGGTCAATATCTAGAATATATAAAGAACTCGTATCACTTAACAACAAAAATACAGACAAGCCGACTGAAAAATGAACAAAGAACTTACACAGACATTTCACCAAAGAGGGTATACAAAGGGCCAATAAGCACGTGAGAAGATATTCAATGTCATTAATCAGTTGTTGTTATTAAGTGCCATCGAGTCGGTTCTGACTCATACCACCTCACCCCCACTAAAATGGCTATAATAAATATATAAACACAGAAAATAACAGACAAGAAATTGGGAACTTCATTCATTGCTGGTGGGAATACAAAACTGGTACAGTCACCGTGGAAAACCGTTTGGCAGTTCCTCAAAACGTTAAACAGAACCACCATATGACTTAGCAATCCTACCTAGTATTAGATAGATACTCAAAAGAACTGACAGCTGGAATGCAAACAGAAACCTATATATCAGTGTTCACTGCAACACTATTCAGAAATAGCCAAAAGGTAGAAACAACCTAAATGTCCACAAACAACTATGGATAACCAGTCTGTGGTATGTATACATACGCCATTGTATACCATAGCCATAAAGAGAAACTCAGTGCTGATACATGCAATAACATGGATGAACCTTGAAAACATTAAGGAAAATGTGTACAGACCAAAGCTTATTAGTGGTTACCAAGGTTAGGAGGTGACTAGGGGTCACTGCGTTTGTTAATGCTGCTGAAATAATTTGGTAAAAGATTATAATAACGGTTATACAGTATGATGAATGTAATCAATGTCTTTGAAATATACATGTGCAAATTGTTGAACTGGCAATGTTTTGTCATGTATACTTTTACCACACATCCCCGAACAGAGAGAGCTAGCATTAACTGCAGGAAAGTAAATTATTAGGTTTTAATAAAAGAATCTGAATACATATGCCCTTCACCAAGATTTGTTACTAAAATCTTGATATAAAAACTGATGAATATCACTGAATAGTATACTATGGCTGTTAAGTGCCGTCGAGTAGGTTCTGACCCATAGTGGGTCCTAGGAGCAGCTGGTGAGCTTGAACCACTGACCTTGCAGTTCAAACGGCTTTGCAGTCTGGCGCATTAACCCACAGCGCCACACCAGGCCTCCATTATACAATTTTATATTTATATAAATAATAGTATAATATAATATATATGTATATATAATCTATATATACATTATGTACATATAGTACTACTAGTATTGTGTATTCCTTATCTGGGAAGTCACCTACTTCCTAAAATGTACTTGTGAATCAAAATCAATACTCATGGTGCTTTCATGGTCATAGCAGACAAACTCAGCAGTGAAACATTTGAGGCACCCAACACACACATTCCCTGCTGAGGTCAAATAAGGCAAAGCTCTTCCTTCTCATACTGCAAACAAGTGTCCTTTTCAAGGTCTATTTAATAATGTTGTTTTCCACATTTTTCTGTATATTGTTGGTGATTTTGCTATTTAAAATAGCCTCCAAGCACAGAGCTATAGTGCTGTGTAGTGCTGCTAAACGTGAGAAGGTTGAGACATGCCTTACAAGAGAGAATACGTGTTGAAGCATGAGTTTCGGTGAATCCGCACTATGGTACATCTAGATAAAGGAAGAGGAGCTTCACCAATCTGTACATGGCCGTTCTCAGAAGTGGGGAAGTAACCTCTACAGTCTTACTTTGGGAAAGATGAAAAAGCAGCTAAATCTGTGGCATTATGAGAATGACAACTCACTTTAAAAAGAAAGCACAATGGATGGCAAGGTAGTAAGGCTAAAAGTCAAAGAAATTTACAAACACATTACCTAAGACCTGGAAAGCATTAAATTCTTGTTGGCTGGTGTTTATTATACAGAAATCTAACAAAGTGTCTTTACACAGAAAAAGTTATATATTGATCAATTAACAACATTGTTGTGACCAGAGGCTCACAGGAAGCTAAACCTGTATTTCTTCAAGGGGCCACGGCTTGGTATTCATTAATTCACTGTTCAAAACAACTTTACAGAATACAACTATCACAAATGACAACATAAACTACATTTTGATGGGACAGCTAAGTTTTCTGCATGTTTCATAAAATTTAAGGCAGCACACAGAGTAACCAATTTAGAATTAATTTAGAAATATAATTTACATAAAACATAACAACACAGGAAACGCTGGCTATATCAAAATTAACTTTTATTACCTGAAGAAGTGCTTCGACTGGGTTCGCCACGCTTTAACTGATCAATCCTAGATTTCCTCTCGCCTGTGATTTCCATGCTCTTGGTTTTTTCCCTGTCTCTTGAACTACTGTGCAGCACTCTCTTTCGACCACTTTGGTCATCTCCACTTCGATAGGCAGAGTCATTGGACGGGGAGCGGAGACGGCCCGATGTGTGGCTCCGATTACTCCGATTACTCCCAAGGCTGCTGCTCCTCTTCTGATCCACTAGCTTGCGGTGTGGTGTGTCTTCCATTGTAATGTGAGGCGCCTCTACCTTCTCCCCTCGTGCTCTGTGGCACTTTCTGTACGACTCTTCGCTGGTAAAAGAAGCAGACGTGAATGAGGTGGAGATGGTGGTGGTGGACGAGGCGAAGATGGTGGAAGCAGGAGTACTGTTAGAAGTGGCAGTAGCCAGAGGAGGAGGAGGAGGAAGGAGGGAAGACAGAGCAGGAGGGGCAGTTCCCACGGTGTGCTCGGGCTCCGGCAGCTCCGCGCGGTCAGGCACCTCCTCATCGGACCAGTCACTGAATGCCGTGTCTTCTTTTTTCTGAGCATCTTCTGCCATGCTATCCTTACCACTGGAAAGTTCAACCAAGTCCTCTTTAGCTGTTATAGGGGGAGTCCGTGGGCCTCTTTTCTTTTTACTTTGCTGAACAACCTCTTCATCAGAAATATCAGAATCATCTTTGGATCTTTTATGCTTTTTATCAACACTTTTCTTCTTCTGCCCTTTTTTAAGTGAAAATACTTGCCCATCTTCAGATGGCATCTCTGTATGACCCCTCTCTAGTCCAACATCATCCTCTTTCTTTTTCTTCATGGGCTTCTTCTGAATTTTTGCTTTTTTCTTGTTTTCTTCATGAGTCCGATCAGATAAATCTCTATCGTCAGATTGGTGGTGTCCCTGAATATCTTGTGCACGGGTTCTTGAACTTTCCATGATTTCTGTCAGTTCTCTCTGCTTATCTATAGAAGAAATTTTCTCTTTGAGTTCTTGCTCTTCATAGCGCCGTGAGCTCTCTTTTCTTTCTGGTTTACGATCTTCCTCTTTCCATCTACTCTGTCTGTCTTCTGGAACGTGCGAGGGACTGAGAGAACGAGAATCTTGAGGTCGTACAACTTGGCTCAATAGCCTATGTCTTTCATCTATACAGAAAGATACAAGTAATCATGCTTTTACCAAGTTAGTAAATATAGCATACAAATAGCAACAATCCAAACTCTCGTTTTTCATTTTTTAAATGGCACTAATTTGGGAAAATATTTTATAAAAAATAAAGATTTCCACAAATTGTAGGAATTATAGCGCCATATGACAGAATGATTGTGTATTTCTTACCACAGATAGTTTAATGATCTAAGAAGATACTCAGAGACAATAGAGCAAGAATGATTAACAATCTTAACACATCAGTTTGTAATGAAGCAAAGGCAAACATCAAAGAATGGTCTCTGGTTATGAATGACTGTGAACAGAGAAAGAGAATAAACAATGCTCACTCTTATCATCTCCACTGTTATAGGCATCGCTGTCAGGAGAATGTTCACGGCGGCGCTTAGGTGACTGACGAGGGCTAGGGCTCCCTTCAGTTCTGTAGCGCTTCCTAAATGAACAGATACAAATAATACAATTCCAGGGCATGATAAAGAAATCTCTTTACTGCATTCTTTACTAGTATTTACTAGTAATTTTTACTAGTATACTTTAACTAAAACATTTAGAATAGTAAAGCTGTCAGAGTTATACCATACAAAAAGTACTCATTGTCTTTGATAAAACTCATTTGCAAAAGACTTACCATAAAGGGCTTAAACTACATGGCAACATTTTTTTCTTTTCCTCATTATAAATGTAGAATCACGTCAACTGAAAACCGTCAGATTTCAATACTACAAGGCGGTGCTATGCAACAGAGGAATAAACCTGTCAATGTATTCTCTAATACATGCTGGGAAACAGAATAGGAAAAAAAACGAGTATTGGCTTTGGTATCCAATAAATACGAGGTCAATTTATGGCCAGGCAATCTTGGGCAAGTTCCTGGAACTCAGTAAACGCCAGGCTTCTTGTCGGAATTGCTGTGTGGAGTACACAAGTCGGAAGCCATGTCGAGCACATTATGGGTGTACACAATACAAATTAGTTTTCTTTTCCTTATTTAATTAAATCACTTTTGTGAGGACAAATTAATATAATTTTAATATAATTAATAAAATAATTCATTTCATTTTAATTCTTGTTCTTTAGCTCAATTTTAAATCAGTAGTTGCTTTATAATTCCAGTCATTTCCTACATTTTCTCTAAAATTGTGACCATTTATTTTTTCACTAATACTGTTAGCTTATAAACACTGGAGTCACTGTATAGTGTTATAGAATAAGCACTGGACTGCTAACTGCAATGTCAGTAGTTCAAACTCACCAGTCACTCCTCAGAAACCCTATCAGGGTTGCTATGAGTTGTAACTGACCCAATGGCACTTAAGAACAACAATGACATGGTCAACAGTTGCAGCACCCGTATCCCGGTAGCGCCTTTATATAGACTAGTAACCCTTCAGAGAAAGGAACTCTGGTAGCGTACTGGTTACGAATCGGGCTGTGAACCTTAAGGCCAACAGTTCGAAACTACCAGCCGTTCTGTGGGAGAAAAATGAGGCTTTTTGCTCCCGTAAAGATTTACAGCCTCGGAAACCCTGTACAGGGTCGCTGTGGGTTGGAACCAACTCGAAGGCACAACAACAACCCTTCAGAGAAGGCGGCCTCAAATGCAGCATGACATCTCGAAGGGCCAGCTTGTGCTCTGCAGGCATCCATGCGGTGGATGGTGGTTGCAGGGACTCCCTGTGAACTAAGCTGTGGGACTGCTTCCTGGAGCCTGGGGGTGCTGACTCCTTACTAACCAGTACACAAAACTCCTGACACATTACCAGGAAGGGCATAGGCAATAGGTCTTGGTGACTAATCAACCCATTAATTAGTTATAAAGGGGCTGTGATGAGAGACTACCTTGTTGATTCTATTACTGGGTGTATACTGGACCCAGGTTAGGGAAAAAGTCTACAGCAGCCAAGCAAGCCAAAGTGCTACCAAGATGGCACTGTAAGTGAGAGTGACTGACAAGGTTCCCTGGATAGAAGAAGAGTAGAATGAAAATACCCTTATTTTTTACTAGATGATTTGAAATTTAAATAACAAATATGTAAAAGAAAATTGAAATTCAGGAAAATGTAGAGAGAAGATAGTGAAAAGAATTAACGGAAAATTAAGGGCATATTGTAAAGCACTACATGGAACTATTCCCAGTGCTTGACTGAGACACAACTCTGAAACATGGATTCATTCTTACTTTGACTTTCTCTCGTCATGCCCATCTCTTGGATTCCTTTCTTCTCGGATATCTTCCCGCTTCTCTCTGCGGTCATCTCGTCCTTTGTCTTTGTCTTCCCATTCCCTTTGACGGTCTCGCTCTTTATCCCTTTCTCTTGCTCTTTCTCGCTCCCGTTCCCGCTCTCTTTCCCTCTCCCGTTCTCTCTCTCTCTCCCTTTCTCTTTCCTCTCTCTCCCGTTCCCGTTCTTTCTCCCTCTCTCGCTCCCTCTCTCGCTCCCTCTCCCGCTCATGGTCACGATCTCTCTCTCTTTCACGGTCTCTCTCTTTCTCTCTCTCTCTCTCCCTTTCCCTAGCACGCTCTCTTTCTAATTCCCTTTCTTTCTCTCGTTCTCTCTCCCGTTCCCGTTCCCTCTCTCTCTCCCGCTCTCTGTCTCGTTCTCGTTCCCGATCTCTCTCTCTAGTCCTCTCATCCCTTCTATCATCTACTCGGTCTACTCTTCGTTCCTCTCTTCTTTCATCACGCTCAAGCTCGTCATTCCTTCCCTGATGTCGAATTGGTGAGCTCGGTCTTTGATCTATAACAAAAATCAAGTTTTGTAAATGATTAATTTGATAGATAACCTATTGATAAAACAGCATGGCAAATATTAATTTTTATCTCTGTATATAGGGTTACATTGGTAAAAAGCTAGACACTATATTTACTTTGACATAATCATTCAAACAATCATCCCTAGACCTTTACAATACTTTTCCTTAAAGAAACATTTTATTCGCCCTCTAACTATCATATTTTCTGCTCCCCATTAGCCCCCGCCATCTCCCCGGATCCATCTTGGATCTTTCTCTGCATGCTCCCTACCCTTCCTCCAGCCCACTGCTCCAACCCCATTTTCTGCCATGTCTACCCTTCACCTCTGATCTTCTCTGTCCCCCCAGCAGGACCTGAGAACACTGGTAGCAAAGGATAGGGGCAGCAGGAGGTGTAGAACATAGGAGCTGAAGGAAAAAAAAAATTTCCCTCGTAAGTCACACCTCTCATTTCAGGGAAAAATATATTCACATCAAAGTGCAGCTAAGTATGTGAGGCAAATACAGCAGAACAAAACATCTGTCAATATTTGTTGCTGCAATATCAATTTATCATAAACTAGAATATTAAATTAAGGGTATTTGGTGCTTAGCAATCTTGAAATAAGCAAATGTAAAAAGTGATTAGCTTAGTGATATATACAATTAAAAACTAACTTCTAATAAATTATGTTTTACTTTGTCATATAACTGATCACTCTGATCAAGAGCTATTTCTTAAAATATTAACTGATAGTTTCAGCTTAATTTATATTTTGGCCAATCAAAGCACAAATCATAGAATAACACAACGTTTCTTTACATATTTAGTTTTTCTCTTTACTTGTGTTCTTCCTTTAAACATTTGAGAAAATAAGTACATGATATCTAAATACCCAACTGAGTAGGAAATCAGTATGGGATCAAGACATGTGCAAGAAGATGGTCTGAGCTTTTCCACAGATGACCATTTTTCAGAGTAATTCACAGTGATAATGATGTAGGTTATTGCAGTCTTTCCATTTTCAAACTACATAATATCTATTGGTTAGCCAATAAAGGTCATACTACCATAAACCAACAGGCTTTTATTTTAAGTGTAACATCTAGAATTAATTTATTAGACAGAATAATTTTAAGATATTTCAAACAAAGGATACAGTATAGTATTTTGAATGTCCTTCCATTCCACTGACTCTTTAGAAGGGTATAGTTCCAAACACAAAAGTTCTTAGAATGCAGTATAGTATTTTGAAGGATACAATGTAGTATTTTGAATGCCCTTCTATTCTTTTACTCTTTAGAAGGGTTTAGGTCCAAACACAAAAGGTCTTAGAATTTTTAAACAAAAATGAAATGAAACCCTGTCCAATCCTTCTCCTCATTCTTAAAAACACAGAAATTATGGTTTAGAATTATTGTGCCTAAGTCCTAAGGATGGCCAAAATATACGGATATAAGGACTAGAAGCCAGTTCTCATATACGCTTCAATGTTTGTTGGAACCAACTTTAGTTTAAAACTGTTCTTTTTCTTGTAAAGTGTTGTCAGTTGGTTGAAACTGACAGTGACCCTGTATAAGGTTTCTGAGGAGTCACTTGGGGGTTTGAACTGCCGACCTTGTGGTTAAAGTCCAGTGCTTAACCTACCAAGACTACCAGTGCCACACCAGGATTCCTAAAGCTGTTCTAATGTGTACCACATTTTAGATTCCCAGAATGCTATATACCCATGTCTTACACTATCTGCATTTCTGATTTGGGAATTATTCCAATGCCACAATAACTACTCAATATAACATGAAAGCACTTCAACATATAACAATCCAGACTTGGGGTTTCTGATTACAACATCATCATAACACAAGTTATTTAATACAAGCTCTCATTTTTGGCAGATAAAAATATTATTCTTTTATCTAAATGACACTGATTCATACAGCAAAGAATAATGTAAGCTATTAATATATCTATATTACCTTCCCTATCTTGCCTCCAGATGTGTTTTGCAAAAGTGAAACCTATGTAAAGTGGAATCTGTTAGAGAAGGAAAACTCAAATACTTCCCACTAAAGGAGATGCAGAAAACTGACAAGTCTGCTCCCTGTCAAATGCAGAAAACTTTCAAGACCTGGAAAAAGACGACAGTCCTGGCAACTTGTGACTCTCACAGACGTCACCGCGTTTGATATGGTTATTTCATGATATGCCTATTTCATGAAAGCTAGAAATAGCCCAAGTTATCCAACTTAAAATTTACATTCAAATCCCACCAATTCCATTTAAAATATTTTCTTATTACATTTCCTTTCCTCATCCGTTAAGTTATTAAGAGGATAAGTCAAAAAGTACTGCTACAAAGGTTCTAGTTCATACACATACAAACAAAAGGCGTTTGAACATATCTCTGCAATCAGTGGGTGGCTGCAGACACGCTCTCTGAGTGGTACTCTTGTCTTAGTCTCATTAGGATGCTTTCATAAAAACAGGCCAATCAAAACACCCAAGAGCACCTGCTGGGCCAGTTCCATTCAAGGCAGAGCAGGGAGCTCGGGTTATGGTAACTGCTATTTGGGATTTCATAGGGGTAATCTTGATTAACTGTCTTTTTTCTGGATTAACTTTCTTAAAGGACACAGGACCATCACGAAATTTATACTGGTGAGAAGATCAGAAAAGTTGTAACAAAGATTTTTTTTTTTTTTCCCGTGTGACAATGCACTTGCTTAAACTTAGAGTAGTAGTAGCAAGGGCTGTCTATGAGAATTTCACTGAAAAACCTTACTTTGCACACCTTTCAGCCTTGGATCTTGTCCCCGCAGACATTTTTTTATTCTCCAAATTCAAAGAACATCGATAAGGAACACAATTTGAGTCCCTCAAGGATGCCAACTGCAGCTTTGATGTGGTGTAAACTGAGGCGTATAGAATTCTTTGGGGAAAGGTTAAAGAGATGGAAACACCACCTTCAGAAATGTATAGACCCAAAAGGAGGATATGTCATGAAACAACAGTCACACATTTTGATATTTGTTTAATAAAAGTTTCTGTGGTTTTGTAGCAATACTTTTTGACTTACCCTTGTGTATTAACTCAGACTCTGATCAGCTCTTCTTAGATGACTACATCAACAATAGCTGGTATTCCTGTCATCAGTTTTCCTCTGAACTTGCTTATACATCTTTTAAATAAAAACTATTTTTTTTCTAGCTACTTAAAACCTTTGTAGGCAGTGAAAGGCAATTAAATTCAAAATTTCAAACTTGACTTATTAGGCTATTTACAATCTGGCCTACTGTCTCTCATCAGTCTTTTTCTCCAGCATCTTTCCTTCCCCACCAATACAGCATAGTTCCATGCCAACTTCCTAACATAATCCCTTACTAGCCCGAAGCACAGATTTTTTAGTCCTGTCTGCCTGCACGTGCTGCTCCAGTCCCTGCAAGTACTTTTCTGTCCCTTCAGGTACTAATTCACATGTTACCTCTTTCAGTTTTCTTGAATTTCCTAGAATTGTGTTTGCTTCTTCATTGTCGCAGAATTTCACATAGTAATAGCATTTATTACAATTCAACTGTCTATTTGTACCCTGAACAGACTGTGAAAAACTGAAAGAAAGAGCTAAGACATTGAGTAAAAACTTATCCACACTCTAGCTATATCCAAAGTTCTGCTGACTGCGTGGGCTTATCAGCGCTTTCTGTTCAAGGTCACTGCTGTGCAGGTGTGAATATGGACATCTGCAAACAAAATAGAACCGAAACGCCAAGTTTCTTTAAAAAAAAATCATTATCAGTGATGAGCCATGTATTCATCACTACGAGAGTAAACGGCAAAGTATGGAATGGAAACATCTCCAAGCACAGACCAAATAAAGTTCAAAGTCAACCATCAGCTGGAATAAAGTTCAAAGTCAACCATCAGCTGGAAAATTCATGTTTGCAGTTTTCTGGGATTCTCAAGGACCAGTATTGGGAACACTATCAGGAAAAAGGTTCAACAATCAACAGTGCTCTTACAATGAGATGCTCACTGAAGAACTGAAGCCTAAACTTCAGATGAAACACAAAGGACTGCTATCCAAGGGTGCTGTGATCTTGTATGACAAAGCAACACTGCCCACAGCGCTGACACGCTACAGAAAACTTCGTTTTGAGGTGTTAAAGCATCCTCCCTATAGTCCTGATCTTGGTCCATTGGACTTTCACTTGTTTGGTCCCTAAAAGCACTCCTTCAAAGAGGACAATTCACCTCTGATGAAGAAATGAAGGCGGTGGTGCATTTGTGGCTCGCAGCTCACCCTAAATGATTTTTTAATAAGGGACTATGAAAGCATGCTGACAGATGGACAAAATATATTGAAAAGGAGATTATGTTAAAAAATGATGTATTTGTCTTTTCTAAAATAAATTCTACAGCCAGAGTGTGGATAATTCTTGACTCATCCTCATAATTCCTCCATTACAGAATAAGGTGTTGGAGTACATCTTTATTCTCAACCTGTATTCCTCTCCCTATTGATCACCACATTCTAACTATATGGGTCCTCATCATGTCTTACATCACATAAGGCTATTTTCCATCTCAGGGTTAGCCACTCAAGTAGTGAAAGGAGCCCTGGTGGCAAAGTGGGCTAGACATTGGGCTGCTAACTGCAAGGTCAGTGGTTCAAAACCACCTGCTGTTCCATAGGAGAAAGATGAGGGAGTCTATTCCCACAAAGATTTACAGTGTCAGAAATCCTAAGGAGCAGTTCTACTCTGTGCAATATAGGGTTGCTATGAGGTAAATCCACCTCATGATAGCAGTGGGTTTTGTTTTGTTCTCTTGGCCCAAATTGCCTAAATTGGAAAACCTGGGTTTTCTTACCATATCTACACTCACACGGATAAAGATTATGTTAGAGAATATATGTAAAGCAACACTCTTTTACACTTAGAAGCTCATACCATGGGTGGTTGAACTAAATATAAGACTGAAATACAATCTTACTATTGAATTCAGGCATGAGACAAGAAGTCTGAAGTAGGCTATGAAAACAGAGGGAAGAACCTCCTTAAGATATTTTTAAAAAGCATTACTTAGTCATAGTGGTAGACTAGACAAAGAAGATAGATTAGACAAAGTGTTAAATTCAGACACACAGAATTATCTAAATCCAGCCTCACCTGTAGTGAAAGAAATCCAACACACTTTAACTTCAGTGTATTAATTAGCTTTACCCTAAGAAACTCAACCCAACCAAGTATCCTACCTCTGATCTCATTTAAGATCCCCGAAGTAGATGGTGGTCTTAAAGAATTTATACTCCTTCAAATACTACCCACATCAAGACACATAATTACCTCTTTGATTCAGTCCACAGTGAAAAGTCAACATTTAATTCCCTAGCCCATCAAGTTTCATACTGTACTGATTTCAGCATGCAGTGAGCCTTATTCTAGGAACCAGACAAGGACAGTGGAAGACTACAAGATTTTAAATTGTTAAAGGACCTAATATGGACATGAGATAATAACCCACAGGAAAGAATGTGAATAAAATGTTGATCCCAACAATCCCAAGCCATCATCCTTTGTTCCTGCTTTTCTCTGGATAGTTCTTACAAGACTATCACAGCTAGTGACTGAGAAGCCAGGATACTCAGACGACAGGGCCTAGATAGGTCCTAAATCAGAATTGCCTATGATGGCACCCAAACGTCTACTACCCTTATAAAGGGGTGTGGGCTTTCCTGTGACAATGAGAGACATCCAGCAGGACACCCTAACTTATGCCCTCTTATAGTCAGTAGGTCCTGGCGGGTAACTACTGACAGAATTCTTCCTGAATGAAAAGGAAAATGAACAGGAAGACTATATAAGAGTAAATAATTCAGGATGTGTTATTAAGCAAAGGTCTTAAAAGATACTTTACATTAGAAAGTAAACCGATAACTGCTTAAAATCCAACTCCCCCAACTAGTGTTGGTCACCACTGATTATTCCACTTGACACACCTCTTTCCCTATTGTCACGACGGTCTCTCTCTCCGTGTCTTCGCTCGAAAGAAGAATCTCGGGCTTGATCTCTGTTGTCTCTGTCAGGGTACCTGTCTCTTTCAGGATAGCTACTGCGGGTTTCCCAGTTGTCATGATAGGTGCCACTACTACTGTGATTATCCATTTGAGAACCTCTTGCGCCTCGACTGCCTGAACAAAGGAGATATACAAACGGTTAACAAACATACCTTATTCAACACATTTCACTATTCAATCTTCCAAAAAATACAAAACAAAAAAAGGCCCCAAAAGACTAAAATTGAAATATTTTTCATTTTTAAAATGTATTCCAAAATGTGGTTATCACTCATCGTTAAAAAGAACATTTAATGTTGGATCAGAACACCCAAATTTCTACTAATTGACTTAAATAAACTAAGTCCCAGCTTCCCCCTTCTCTCTCTCTCTCTCTCTCTCTCTCTCTCTCTCTCTATATATATATATATATATAAAAAAAGCAAAAAACACCAAAAAACTCTTATTGTGAAATCAAAAAGCAAAAAACTCATTTCAATGAACTCAAAACAACAAAAGTAAGAATCATTAGTTTACAGATAATTCAAAGAAAAATCAGGAAAATAATGATAAATAATGATAGTGGATATGGTTATTACAACTTGTAGTGAAGGCATTCTAATATAGAAACAAGCTGCTTGGGCAAGACATTAAGCAACATCTTAAAATGTTCAAATAATGTATGAGTTGAATGCTCACTGCAGCTTTATTCATAATAGTAAAAACAGGAAAAGCATATCAAATACCAACCAAAAGAAAGCTGCCAATTGGAAAATATCTTTCAGTGAGCATTGCTAAGCAAACTGCTACAGCTATACCAAGGAATACTGTTCAGCAATAAAAAGAAACTTACTATTGATGTATGCAACAATTGGACAACCCGTCAAGAAATTATGCTTAGAGGAAAAAAAAAGCTCATTTCAACTTGATATATACAGCATGTTTTCATTTACATGACATTTATGAAAAAACATAATTAAAGAAAAGAGAGGGAATGTTAGTGGTTACCAGGGGTCATGGTGTGGGGATGAGAAGAGTATGGCTATAAAAGGGTAATGCATGGAACTCTTGTGATAACGGCAGTTGGGTATCTTGGTTGTAGTGATGGTAACACAAGGCTGTTGTTGTTGTTAAGTGCCACTGACTTGGCTCCAACTCATAGCAACCCTGTATAGATATTCTGAGGAACAGCTGATGAGACTGAACGGCCAACCTTGTGGTCCGGTGCTTTATCCTATAGCATCTCACATAAGGCTACACAGGTAATAAAACTGCATAAAAGTACACATGGGCACTCACACAGGTACATGTTGTTGTTGTTATTGTTAGGTGTCACCAAGTAGGTTCCAACTCATATGCACAACAGAACAAAACACTTCCTGGTCCTCCCCATTCCCACAATTGTTGTTATGTTTGAGACCACTGCTACTGCCACTGTGTCAATCCATCTCTTTAGAGGTCCTCCACTTTTTTGCTGACACTCCACTTTACCAAGCATGATGTCCTTTCCCAGAGATTAGTCACTCCTGATAACATGTTCAATGAATGAGAGATACAGTGTCACCATCTTGGTTTCCAAGGAGCATTCTGACTATACTTTCCCAACACAGATTTGTTTGTATTTTTTTTAGCAGTCGATGGCACTTTTAATATTCTTCTCCAACACCATAACTCAAATGCATCAGTTCTTCTACAGTCTTCCTTATTCACTGTCCCACTTTCACATGCATATGTGGTGACTGAAAATACCATGGTTGGGGTCAAGCACACTTCAGTCCTCCAGGTGGCATCTATGCTCTTGAACATCACAAAGAGGTCTTGTGCAGCAGATTTCCCTAATGCAATACGTCATTTGATTTCTTGACAGCTGCTTTCATGACTGTTGATGGATGATCCAAGAAGAATGAAGTCCTTGACAACTTCAATCTTTTCTCCATTTATCATGATGCTATTTGCAGGTTCAGTTTGAGGATTTTTGTTTTAAATTGAAATATAATCCATACTAAAGGCTATAATCTTTTGATTTTCACCAGTAAGTACTTTAAGTCACCTTGCCTTCAAGCAAGCAAGAGTGTATTACCTGCATATCACAGGTAGTAATAATCTTCCTCCAAACTTGATGTTACCTTTTTCTTCATATAATTCAGCTTCATGGATTATCTGGTCAGCATACAGATTTAATAAGTAGACTGAAATGATACGCTATCCACAGTTTGTCACGATCTACACAGTCAAAAGCCTTTGTATACTCACATCAAAGATCAATCCTATCCACTCTGCACACAGGGTTGATAGGGATGGGCAACTTAGACACTGACTACCTAAAATGGGGAGAGGAAGGAGACAATAAAGGTATGATGGCTTACAAGTTTTCAAGAGGGAGTTTAGTTTCATAGTGTGCAGGAGATGGTAGAACCCCCACTGAATAATTTTCATCATGTCTTGACGAGTCTGGTGAAAGGAGATGGGGATAAGATTCTTATGATTCAACATTCTTATTTCAATAGTGAGTAATTGTTAACATGACTAACTGCGATGGTCACAATTATAAAGGTAGAAGTTTTATAACAAAAACAGGTGAGTCCTGGTGTAGCACTGTGTGTTAATGAGCCAGACTGCAAAGCCTTTTGA